ATAATTCAATATTTTTACTTTACTATAGACATGGTGTGTTGATAATGAACATATCAACAGTGTATTGGTGACGCACTATTAAATTGAGGTCGCCGCCCAGTAGTATCCCTGGCGATTATAGCTAAGCAACATAAGATCGCTACTCGGAAAATAGAACCATCGGCGGAAATTATTTGTCAAGTTTATAAGTGTTACAACGATGAAAACAGAGTACATACCAGAATTACACAACTATCCACTACTTTTCAATTTAAGAAATGATTACATTTTCATCAAAAGAGCAGCATTTTAGCGGTACGGTACAATTTAATTCGTACGCAATATCAATGGATCGTCAGCGACTGACACAGTATACACTAAACTGAGGTGACTCATTTACAACTATAGTTGGTACGTTCCCGGCATTGAGAGCAGAAGTCGCAACGTAAGCTTTATTAAAATGTGCAAGATAAATTTATGATGTTATTTGTTTCCTGCATTCGTTGATGCAAACCTCTCTGGTTATGTTGAATGATTTCGCGAACATATTAAGTATAATTGTTAATTTCTATTGACATTATAAGTTACAGTTCCCGAATATACATGCATTTTTTAGGATGATTTCATAATAGTAAAGATATGAAAATTTCTGAATATCTTTTTGGTTATACAAAACACAAATCCAATCTGTTAACATTTATAATTCTCATAGTATATGTGCTGTTTTAAAGCCACGCTATGGTCAGCATGCCCCTGTGACTTTTACGAGACCCTGACTATAAATGTGGCTGTTGCACAGTACGAATACGAGGTGCGATCGAAGACATATACCACGACAATTCAACAAAACAACTGTGAAATAAATACACACACTATTTCTCCCTTTGTATATATCAACTCATTATTTAAATACAGACACAACAAACTCGTTACCCCATTTTGATAACTATACTAACAAATGCTACTCCTGGTTATAAAACATATGATGTGCTAGATTATGACTATATATATGTAGGACAGTCCTACTTTACATTCAAATATCTAGTTTGTTGACCACTATGAATTTTAATGGTATAACACATGCTATGACATGTTGATAATCGCAAACAATATTATTTATTTATTTATTTATTTATTTATTTATTTATTTATTTATTTATTTATTTATTTATTTATTTATTTATTTATTTATTTATTTATTTATTTATTTATTTATTTATTTATTTATTTATTTATTTATTTATTTATTTATTTATTTATTTATTTATTTATTTATTTATTTATTTTTTATGTATTTATTTATATATCCGCACGTCTGTCTGTATGTGAGTATTTTAAGCAAAAGATATAATATACAGAATGTTATTTGTTACATGTAAATTCTGTATATTTCTAGTTACACTATAGATTATATGCAGTATTACA